AGATATGTCCAGCTTCCATAAGAACTATATTGCACAAAACTTTATCTTGATATTTTCATATGGAAATTGGAATATTTAATTGTTAGTCAACTACTATTCAACCATCATCTTTAATCCACCGAAGTTTGTAAGGTTTGGGATGGGGAACAACAGTCAAATCCAATTTTTCTACCATTCTAGAACTACAACAATTACAACAAAAGTCACTATACACAATTAATGAACAAATATTTTCAAAAACTTTACATCTAGTGTGAAATAGGTTCTCCCTCTATGATTGTTCTAGTTCAATGAGTTGATTCTACAAGATTCGCCTTACCATCAATAAATCACCTTCACAAGGACGTACTTCCTCCTTAGAGCCAGAGGATTCCTCTTCATTGGGTGAAGATTGGACCTCATCCTGGTTTATGATTTCTTGGTCTTTTATCAACATAATTTTTTATTAGGACATTCTAAAGCGTAATGTCCCCTACCAAGACATTGAAAACAATGGATATCCCTGGACCTTTTCTCTTTGGAGTAGTATTGTTTTTCTCTTTTCTCAAATTTTTTATAATTATCTACTTCTTTTTCTTTTTCTATTTTCTTTCTTCTGGACTATCAAACTTAGGTTTAGAGGTAACACCCTCCCTCTTAAGTTCATTCCTAGAACTATGGTACTCTTTTTTATAATAAATTTTCCTCTTAATTTGTTGCTCTACCCTAACATAGTGTTGCACTAATTCATTTAGATCATGGTAGGATAGCAACTCAATTTTGTCCCTAATTTCTAAGTTTAGGCCTCAAGAACCTAGTAATGGTGATTTGTGATTCTTCCCTTATTCCTACCTTCGTCATCAATAACTTCATTTTCTGCCTATACTCCTCAATGGTCATATTCTTTTATTGGATTCGTTAGAGCTTGTCCATTAACTCTTTATCATAGTAAGAGGTACATGTCTCTTCCTAAGGACAGTTTGGAGTTCATTCCAATATCTAATCTGGGGTTCAATATGAATTCTCCCGTCACGCAATAAGGAAGTCCACAAATACATCGCATGCCCTTGAAAACTAAGAGTTTCCATGGACATCCATCTTTCTTCATTAATTCCATGACACTTAAATAACTTTTCGACCTCATCTCCTAATCCAAATACTCCTCTACATTATCTCTGCCATGGGAGGAAGACCAACCTTAGGTTCTCTTTGTGTTTCCACTCTAGGTCTATGATGTGTGGGGGAAGGTTGATAGTAGTCATCGTTGAGATGATTACTATAGTTTTCTACGTGGGAATGGAGTTCTTCATGATGTTCATTTCTTCTCCTCAAACCCCCACTTCTATTTTTGTTTTTATTTTTTTATTTAAAAGTTGGGTAAACATAACCCTTATTTATTCATCTCTTTTTTCTATTTTCTCTTCTAAGTTTATCCCTAATCAAAGGCTTTTATCTAGATCTCTGGATACTCCCACCCACACTAGAATAACTTGTGCATGAGAATGGTCACTCATTTTTTTATCAAGAAAGATTTTCACAAAAAGTCTTTCGAGTGTGTGGTGTGTCGGATCCTAAGACCAAAGCAAGGTTAACTATTCGTTTAAGGACTCACCCAGATTTTGACACGAAAAAATTAGATTTTAATTGCAAAAATTCAACACAAGGTAAACTAGACGAAATCTTAGGATGAAAGTTCAAGTGACACTTAAATGAGCCTCTTAGAGTACTTTCACAAGACTAATGTGTGTACTATTACAAAGTTTATGTTGAGAGATGGAATTGTACCAAAGATATTTTCCCAAGACACCTAAGAAATCCGTGACAAAATTTATAACAAAGATTTAGCAATGAAATTTTTTTTGTCACAACTTTAGGGTTCCTCACTTGGTCAAGTATTTCACTCTTCTTGCACTCGATATTTCTTCCCAAGTTTCTTTGAAGAAAACCTTTTTGTTTCTTCTTAACAACACCTAAGATGCTACCTTGAAAAAGAAGTGAGTTTCCAAGAAACAAGGAAAAGTAAAATGGTTATCTTGTTTATTTAAGTGCTCAAGATGCAATAATAAAAAATACAAGAAAAACTCAAATAAGAATTTGATACAGTGAAATGATTGGATTACTATTTGACAAACTTAAGAAATCCAAAAAGACAAGCAAGAAAATTTTAGCAAATTTTTAAAAGAAGACACTCAAAGAAGCATAAGAATGAATCTAGAATTGTTTACAAAAACAAAAAGACTCTTAAATCACTTATAAGTCCAATTCATACTTGCCTGAATTATACACTCATATTCATTTTTTTTACACATGCAATTTTTCAATTCTAATTTTATTTTAAGGAGTGTGGGACTTATTTATGAGTTGCAATCATTATTTTCAATTTTCATTTTCCTAAGTCTCAAATTTTTTTACTTTTTTTTTCTTTTCAATTTCACAATTTCAATTGTTTTGGTTTTTTAGACTTAAGTCTTTTCACCAATTCAATTCCAATTCAATTTTTATGGCATTAATTTCATACAAGTTCGAACATTATTATGGCATATTAACAACAATGAATTCAACTTTCAAACATTAGAAAAAGCCTAGACTAATCATGGCTTGTACAAGGAATTTATGTTTAGAATGATTTAACGGCAAAAGAATACTCAAATGTACAAGTCAATCCTACACATACTTGGTTTGGTTCCTAGCATACAACTCAATGTTATTATTTTTCTCAATAACAATTTATATTTTCTAACACATGGAATAACATCTAAAGGAATTATGACATACAAAGATTAAACACGACTTTCTAATATAACATCAAAGATTATAAAATTGAAAGCTAAGTAAGAAAATCTATAACTACACATATAACATATTAAAGAAATTTTTAAACATACAATTGATTAAGAAAAGAACTAAACAATGAATCAATTACAACATAGGACTCAAACAATTGCATACATGACCAAAATTCAAAGACAAAAAGAAGGAAAGAGGAGACATAAATCTCTTGAAGACCTCCATGCCTCGCTTATGATACCAAATTGATGGAAATCTTCTTCCTCCTTCTACCGTTGATGAAATTGATAGAAATCTTCTTCTTCCTACCATTGCACTTTGAGAACCCATAAGTAAACCAAAAATTTTTCCCAAGTTTTTATAAAAACTTGATACTAACTCCTCTAAGGAAAGTTCCTTATTATGAAAATAGAAAAAAGAAATATCTAAATACACTTAAAAAAAAATTAAATTCGGGATATAAGAAATTTTATAAGTTTCACACACAAGCTTTGATTTCATTCTAAATTTGTCAAAAGAAAAAAGTTACACAAGATGCTGTATTTACATAGTTTCCCCTCTCATCCACTTCAAGATTAGAAGATGTGGGACATTTTGACCTTTAGACAAGTGCTGGCCGAAAATCCTATTCTAAGTCACACATCAATTTTTTGTAAGTTTTCCTACGTGTATATATTACAATGTCTTCTCAATAGTTGCAAACAAAACACTAGGTAGTCGTGAGTTGTGGTCTTTGAGTATGGCCGAACAAATTAGGTGCAGTTTTTCTCCTCTTTGATTCTGTCCAAATTCTCCTTTTGCACCTATTTTCATTGATCATTCACTTCGTGTCCCATATCGAAATGATGAAGGAATTCTCAAACATTATATACTAGTAAATATCCTTAATGTGCAACCAAATGGATGAATATGAGAAGGAGCCATAGTGCACCTCCTATGCTAAGCATCTTGGTCCGTGATTGGCCTTGTGGTGCGCCCTTGTGACAGCAAGTCTTGGGCTGGTTTTTCGCTATCTTTGTGGTTAGTGTTGTGACCTTGTGTGCTGCTATAGGTGGCTGGTCCCAATTATTCCTGAAAAAAAAAAACCATATTTACAATCTTTCTCAAGACTTAATGTATAAATCTAAAAATATGTATATAAAATTAGAATGTTTCAATATAATAAAATTAAAACTAGAAAAAAAAATTAGCAACAAAATAAATTTAGAGATGAAAAATAAAACTGGTCTCTAATTTTGTTATTTCTAACTTCCCTAGAAAAAATAGACAGAGTATTTATGTTTCACCGTTTCTAAAATTCCATCACTAATTCATTAATTTTTAGTAACAAAATTTGATACAATCGGTGAATAGCAATATGCTTAAATTCTCAACTATGAAAACCAAGATTTTATTCCACGTAGTTTGTGTATGGAAAATACTTCTGAAGAAAAATTGTATTCACTTAGAAAACTTTGTTTAACAGACTCTTAACATTCTCTCATAAAAACAGTATTATCAAGACATGAAAAAAGAAAAAAAAAAAACTGTAAATGAAAAACAAAAACTAACAGACACGTTGTATGCCTTTGTAGTTGGATTTATTCTAGCGGATTCTTCAAAGTTTGGGTATTGTTGTGAATAAGATATGCTATTAATTAACAATAGTTTAGCTTAATTAATACAGATGTCATTGTTTCAACATGCAGCAACAACTGGCAATACTAAACAGCACGGTTGAAGTTTCACCGGTATATTCTTGTGTGGTAGTTTTGTCTCTCAGTTAATGCAATACCTGTACATTTTCTTTTTGTTTTTCTATAGGTATCTTATTGGAAGCATACTAAACCCTCCTAATAAAAAATTAGGTTGAGATTTGCTACATTGTGAGACACTACCCCTTAAACGAGATCCAACCTCCATATGGAAATTCCATACAATAGTTCTATTTTACTGTTTATATTCCATACAACTCTAGGGACATGCAGTAGTTAAGAAAATTAAAATATGAAATATTTTTGTACTTCTGTGTTTAGCATGTTTTGCATTTCAAGAAAAATAATATTCATACACCTATCAGATACTCAGCATTACCTTACTTGCAAATTCAGAGTTTGGCTGCATTAGCTGCATGCTAAGGCGGCAATTGGCATTGAGCCATGTTTTCTTCTGTCTATATATATGAAGTCAAGTCCCATGCTGAGAGTCACAAAACTTTTCAGTGTTGAAAAGTTAAGAAATTATAAGCATCCAAAATGAAGAAGATCATCATAATATTGCTCTTGTTTTGCTTCATACTTCCCTTGGCATTTGGGGAGTTGAAGGTTGGATTTTATGAGTCCTCGTGCCAAAAAGCGGAGTCCATTGTTAAGAACGTTGTGAAGAGTCGATTCAATCGTGACAAGACCATTACTGCAGCATTGCTTCGCTTGCATTTTCATGACTGTGCTGTCAGCGTAAGATACAGTTAACTTTTCGTTTTACTTTCTATTTTAAAATTTTGAGTTTTCATTACTATTAAATTAACTTTCTTATTTTGTTTTAGTGTATTCTTACTTTTTTCGTGGTCAGAAATAATTGATTGTTTTATATTATGAAATTAAAATAACAAATAGTCTTTTATATTTTTTATAGTATGTATGATTTTGTTAAATTGATTATGGAGTCATTCAAACACACTATATTAGCCTTATATTGCTATTTTTGAAAAAAATCTAAAACTATTACAAAATGGAGAGTTAAGGACCACAATCGAAAATATAGGGACTAAACATATAAGTTTTACATGTGCTTTTATTCGTACTTTTCATATTATATAACATTGTTCTTGAATAAAATATTATGTTGAGTAGTAAGATTCACATGAATTTCACTGGTATAGATTTGACCAAGGAACTACCTTACACAAACCCTTCATCCTATAAGACACTGCGTGTTTAAAAGTGTGTTCTCACACTTATTTGCTGCATAACCAAACTATTTTAATCAAAACTATTTCACAAATAAAGTAATTAACAAACCCTCTTGTTAATTTGTAACAACAGGGTTGTGATGCATCCATACTCATAAACTCTACCCAGTCCAACACAGCAGAGAAAGAATCAGGCGCAAACTTCGACGTTCGGGGCTTTGACATTATCGATGAAGTGAAGGAAACCCTCGAATCTGCATGTCCTTCAACAGTGTCATGTGCAGACATCATAACCCTAGCTACCCGAGATGCAGTGGCCTTATCTGGAGGACCCCAATACGAAGTTCCCACGGGAAGACGCGATGGATTGGTCTCCAACATCAACAATGTGAAGATTCCAGGACCCAGCAGCTCCGTCTCAGTAATATCTCAATTTTTCAATAAGAGTTTGGGACTTACAACGCAGGAAATGGTGACCCTTTTTGGTGCACACACTGTTGGTGTTGCACGGTGCAGTTTTTTTGATGATAGGCTTTCGAGTCCTGACCCTACAATGGACCCTGGGTTGAATGCTAAGTTGGTGAAGTTGTGCAGCTCCAGAGATGATAATGATCCTTCTACGCCCTTGGACCAGAAAACTTCTCTTCTTGTTGATAATGGGTTCTACACGCAGATTCTTGCCAAGAAAGGGGTGCTGCAGATTGATCAGCAACTTGCTTTGGATCAAAGTACGAGAGGGTTTGTGACAGATATCGCTTCTAATGGGGTTAAGTTCCAAAAGAACTTTGCAAATGCGATGGTAAAGATGGGGAGTATTGATGTTCTGGTTGGGAATCAAGGAGAAATCCGCCAGAAATGCTCGGTTGTCAATAACCACAGCTAGATTAAATAGGTTGGAAATATTACCGGTTGTCTTTTATTTAAATTCGGTATTAAATATTTTTATTATTTTCAAGAGAAAAAGATAAAAAAAATTATTATTTTGATTTAAGTAATTATGATTAAGATATTATTAATATTTAATATTTTGTAATATTTTTATTTTATATATAAAAAGAACACATAAATAAAATATATGTTTATATATTAAAAATATACGTATATAAAATCTTAGAAATTTTCATCATTATCATAACTAGTGAAGTTCTAGTCCTTGCGAGAATAACGAAGGGAGAACAAAGTTTTTCACAAATCATTAATCCAATTTTTTATAGTGAAAGTTATGACTTATATGTTGTAAGAATGTAATCATATATTAGAAGATTAAATGTATAGGAAGTTATGCAAGATGATTATTTCATTGATCGGCTATTTGAAAATTCCACCATAACTCAAATCAAATTTTAGAGACAAAGAAAAATAAGAAAGACAAAAGCTAAATCATGTTTATTTGTTAATGTTTTACAAATAATCCTCACCAGAATCGCTAAAGTCACACAAAAAAATTTAGAATTATTTGAAAGACCAATATTAAGGGAACGAGAAAATTTGAGGCATAAAAGTTCTAATTTGATAAGGAAATTTAAAATACAAAGGATGCAAGAGTTTAAGAAATTTAATAAATACTCAAGCAAATTATGGGGTATTGCTAACAAGATAACATTATTAAATAATGAATTTCCTGATTCCAAAATAGTTGAGAAAATTCTAATAATTATGTCAGAGAGATATGAAACATTTATTACTTCATTAAAAATTACAAAAGATTTGTCTAATATTACTTTGACACAAGTGTTATATGCTTTACAAACATAAGAGTAACGAATATTGATGAAAATATATCATATTGTTGTTGAATGTTCTTTCCTATATTAAAGGTAAAGTTTATTTCCAAACCAAGAACAACAAAGATACCAAATTTCATGTCATCTTTATTTATCATTATTACAAGAAAAAAATAATCACTCACAAAATAAGTTTTGGTGGTGGTCCAATGTAAAATGTCATAAATATGGTCAATTAAGACATATAAAAAAAATGTAAATCACAACCAAAAGAAACCGTTAAGGTTATAGAGGATAAGTAGAAGGGAAACTTCTTGCATTAATATGTTCTACAATCAACAAATTCATAAGTTTGCATCAATATGTTCTACAATCAACAAATTCATAAGTTAACTTATAGATAGTTGTTATACAAAGCACATGATTCATGATCGAGAATTTTTCAAAGAGTTCAAAATCTGTTATTTCTAAAGAGAGAATTGACAATAGAGAACAAATGGATGTGAAAGGTACGGTAACAATTGTAGTTAAAAATAATTCAAGTATCAAATTAATTTTTGATATTTTATATGTTTTTTATATTAATCGTGATTTGTTAAGTGTTGCTTAATTATTAGAAAAAAGTTATAAGGTGTCTTTTAAACACAAATTTTATGTAATTAAAGATACAAATAACTTAAATATTTAAAATTCACATGAAAGAAAAAAATTATTTTAAATTTGATGAAAGAGGAATTAATTACAAATGATCATATAAAAGAAAAATAAAAAAAATGATAAATATTTCTTAAAGAAACTTAATGTTAAGGAAGAAAATAAATATGTATATAAAGAAATAATTTCCAACCTTCATAACATAATCAATTATGATTGAGATATTATTAATATTTAATATTTTGTAATGTTTTTATTTTATATATAAATAAAGTACATTAATAAAATATATACTCATAAAATATATTTTCACATATAAAAAATACATGTAAATAAAACTCTACATATTCTCATGAGATAGTTATATGGTCATTTGTTAGGAAAGTTATTGTTATCTTGTTCTTTTCTTGATTCTGATCTATGCTAAAGGGTATAAGTCAATTTTGTGTTCCAAGAAAAACCATAAGTTATTTCCACCAGTTCATTATTATATGAACCATGAATATAAGTAGCATTGGAATTATCGTGTGGTTTCCAAAAGTTTGACAAACTTTCACTTACAAAATATTCGAATGGATCAGCAGAATGTTGTTATATATTAATTAGAAACTTGGAATGATAAGATCGATGTATAGAAAGTTTGAATATACATTCATTTTATGTTCAAGATTTATTTTGCGTAAAAAAAAAATCATATAATTTCTCTAATTTATTTTTTAAATTTCTGTATGGATTATAATTTAAGAAAAACTGATTTCATTTTTTTTATGCAAGCATTTATACCATAAGATTACTTTTTATACATGGTAAAAACAAATTAAACAGTGAATTAATTCAAAACTATGAAGCTGATTGGTTTCTGGAGTTCATAGGATAACTTTCTTAATAAGTTGGAGAGGAAGCTTTGGGTGGACGTGGCTTTATCATTAGTGTCGAATTAGGTTTCTTCTTTGAATTTGCATCCTCTTCAGCGAAGTCACACCCCAGCATTTTAGCAGCAACTTTTTGGACCGTTGGATGCATCTATGGTTGAGAATAAAAGTAGCAAAATCTTACAATCTCTCTGCATGCATAATCAGTTCATTGGCTTCATGTACACAGATAACTAAAAAAGTGGAGAGACAGAGTGTACATCTTGTCTCCAACGATAAAAATAAATTATAATTTTAATATGATTTAATATATATTTATATAAAAAATATAAAGGAGTTATTTCTCATCTTTATAACTTTTTTTAATACAATATTTCAAAATAATATTTGATCTCAATTATAAAATTATAAAAAGATAAATAATAAAAATATAAGTAATTTATATGCGACTGTATGACAGCGTGTGGGACGAGGGTTGTATGGATGTGATTGGCATAAGGGATAAGGTGTTGCGAGATGAGTTGAGAGTGTGAGGGAGAAAATTTTATTTTAAAATATTTAAATAATATTTAATAATTAAAATTTTAATATTAGGTAAATTTTAATCATTTTAAAAATAAATATAAATATTTTTAAAAAATACTACTTTTATAAAATATATATAGTATTATATAACTAAATAAATACATATTTTCATGTGAGAGTGACGTATGAATGATTTTCAAATTTATCAAATAAATGAATTACCCTTCAATTACCTCATTCAAGTACAAATTTCCTTCCCCTCAATGATGTCATATATTTGAAAAGGAAGTCTTGTGCAACATCTTCATCAAATAATCATTTAGTAGTTAATATACATTTAAATTGTCTCCACGTTCATGCTACACCAAATATGATTTTCCCAAACTTTATTTATACTTGAACAAGTTTGATTTTCATGGAGTTCTTGAGATTGGATTTATGTTTGTAGTGAGATATAAGATGTTGGAGAGATTTGAAATTCTTAGACAAATATAATTTTCATACACTTTATTTATACTTGGAACAAATTTGGTTTTCATAGACTTTTCTAACATAATTTTTATGTTTTTTAGGTTGGACTTCATAATCATATTGAAGAGAATGGTGAATACTATTGAAGAAACAAATGAAATATTTTATTGAGTTGTAATATTATCTTTAATTATTAAAACATAGGAATATTACACTATTTTTTTTAATTATATTATTTGTTGCAAAATTATACTTTTAGATTTGAGTAACTATTTGGTTTCATTATTGTACAATATTATGAAATTTATAAGTTCACCTTATTTATTGATGATAATGGTCAATGATTTGGAACCTAGATAACATATTCAACCCTCCATCAAATAAGCATAATGTATGGATGATGAGAAATAATCTCATAATATATTTTGTACAATAACAATAATAGTCTAAGCAAAATTCAACCATTAATTATGTTTAAAAAGCAATTACAACAATTAAATAATTATTATCTAAACAAAAATAATTGTCTCACAAAATGCCACACTTAAAATAAGTATACCTTAAATACTATGTATAACACTAGTTAAAAAAAGTGTGCGTATAACAAATGATGACAACATTTCAAAAAATAAGTGTTCTCTAAGAAAAGACAATAAATAAAGAACCATAATTTAAATGCAATGACAATAATTAAATAATTATGACCTAATGAAAAGTAATAACTAAAACGTGTTATCTATCACGAACAAAATTATTGTCTAAAAATTATCAAAAGTTGTGATATATAGTAACAATTTAAGACAATGATTTTAAACAAAAAACTGATAGAAATATATACTAAATCCATAATTTTAATAATAACAAATATGATTAGGTTTTAGAATATTTAATCTATGTAAAAAAATAAAGTAATAATCTCATATCGAGGGAATATGGAGAATAATTATAAAAATATATTATCAAGTGAAATTGAAAATATGACAAAAGATATATATAATTATATGCTTATTAAATCAAAATGTGAGAAATAAAAGAATTTTCATAGAAGAATATATGTGAAATGATCAAAATACTATCCTGTAATGGAAATATACGGTATATTACAATAAGAATCAAGTAATAATACAACAAATAATATTAAAATTTTATAAATTAAGATGAAAAATATTCAAGTATATAGATTTGTCTAAGATAAGTAGAAGGCAATATTTTTCTCCAATGGTTATGTTTACATATAAAGGGAAATATGCAATATGGTGAAAAGATTAACATGTTATTTAACTAGACAATTGAAAAATATCTAGACATACTAAAAGGATATTTTATATAAAGAAGAATATTAAAGATATCATATTATCAAAGAAATGGTTTTAGAAAATAATAAAGGCTAAGGTTAAGTAGTTAAATCTTAAAGTCTATAAAAGGAGGAACTCACTTATTGAAAAAATCACAATAAAATTAACAAAACAACGATACAATTCTATTAGTTCCTTGTTTTATCTTCTTATTGAGTCACTACTAAAAATTCTCATTTTTCATAGGAATATTTTTGCAAAATTTTTGTAAAAATTGCAAGAAATAAGTTTTTCTATAAATTTAAACAATTTTTTGCAAGAAAATTGGCAAAAAAAATTAAT